TTATGCTCTAATAAATTTGTTGGTCTGTCAGGTGCCACAAGTGCTCCTGTTATTCTTTTTGCCGATACAGACTAACACGGCTGTTACTCTGAAACTCCCAGGAGAGAAAACACAGTCTGGGACTAAAACCCCAATCTTTAATGTGGCAAATCATTTTCTCAGTGTCTTAGCAACATTGTCTGCCAGAAATAATCTGCTATATCTGTGTGCTTGGCTTCATTACTGGAAGTGCCATTGTGTTGAGCTGGAGCAGTTTCTGAAGAAATGACATTGCATCTGTATACATTATTATTATTTTATTAATGAATTAGCACCCAGGAGCCCCACTAATGGATTTGGACCCCATTGTGTCAGGTGCTAAGACATACTTCCTACAAGAAACATGAATAAGATGAGAGAAATTACATACAGATAGGGGGAGCTCAAGGAAGCAATGAGGCATTACTGTTTAGGTCTTGAGTTTATGCCTGTGGGGATTGGATACTTTAATGAAAGCATAGCTACAATCCAGTTTAAAATATTCTAATCTAAATATCCCAAAGGGTGAGGTGATGGACATTTGGGCTACATTTTCAAAAGGACCAGCCTGTCTGTCATGTCTATACCTGGCAACTGGTCAGGAAGAAACGATTTCTGAGTGCTGAGTTGTCGCAAGAATGTTTGTGCAACGTCTCTGAGACCGCAAGGCATTCAGACTTGAAGGGACTCGGTCAAACCCATCTGTTCCTAAATGTTGCAACCGTCCATCCCAGTGCTGAGCTGGTTCAACCCTGCTCAGCCAATCAGCATTTGTGATATTGCCTGGAACATCACTGTTACAGATAAGAAAGAGTTAGAACTGCAGCAGCAGCCATTAAGGGAAGTTGGCGATCCAGGCAGCTACCTGCTTCCTGTGCCTGCGAGGTGTGGAGCTGTGACGCACACCCATGCTCAGTGCTACGGCTCTGAAATGTGCAGCCAGGGAGCCAGCGCTTCTGCTTAATTTGCTTGCTCTGTTCTCTTCCTAGGGGCAGCCATTGAATGTGCAGAGAACTACAGCCATTTAAGGATTATGAAATATCAAGTAAAATGGTGTACAGGCAGATCATTGGGTTGATTTGCCCGGGTCTCAGTGAATGGAAAATTCATTAAATGAGAATGCCCATCATGCTACAGCCACAGCTCTTGCTTGCCTACTGTGTAACTGAAAATCATGATTCTTTTATTTATTTATTTTTTGTGCAGTTTCTGACCGTGGAATCATTGGCACTGCCGTATGCCTAAGTAAGAAGGGTGCCTGCTTCCTTTTCCATTGTCCCCTCAATACGATGCGTATCGGCCGCTGTGGTCTGTTTTGGCATTGCTGTCGGTGGTAAGTTCAGGATTTCACAAGGGCGATATTGCACTGTGAACAGAACTACTTGTCTCTCCTTTTTATGTATCCAAGCTGTTGTTTAATGCTCTTACAGGCAAGACACAACCCAGAGACAGAGGGCAATGGAAGCTCCTATACTACCCTGATTCTGGACTGTCTGGGGACTGCTTTGATCCTTGTTGACTTCTCTTACTTACAGCTGCCTTACTCTGCTTGCCATGGCTGGTCTACAGCCTGGATCATCTGTAATGCTCAGTGCTATAGAGATTGCTCTGCTGAGACCTGCTAACATCCAGCACCATCTCCAGCACTACCCTTAAGACAGTGCTTGCAAGTAGGGCAGCAGAGGGCCAGTTATGGTCATACATTGGGGTAACTCTCCTCCAAACCCTTTTAGAGCCCCTGTGTGTTGACAGAGCATCGGTAAGCCTCACAATAAAGGCAGTTTCCAATCTTTCTTGAATAACTCCATCCTCTCACATGCTTGTCCATTTCTGGAACAGGCTCTTCCTTAGTGGGAACATCCATGAATGTTCTACAAAAAACAGTGGGATCTTTTTTGTGTGTGTTTGAGCACAATTCATTCGGCCATTTCTGGTGTTGAATGTGTTTGACAGAAGTTCTGTTCACTCCTGGGACATGGCTTTGGTCAAAAACAGCAGGATTCTTTGATTTGTAGCCAGCAATCATGGAACTCATGGGAGGAGGGATAGCTCAGTGGTTTGAGCATTGGTCTGTTAAACCCAGGGTTGTGAGTTTAATCCTTGCGGGGGCCACTTAGGGATCTAGGGCAAAAATCAGTGCTTGGTCCTGCTTGTGAAGGCAGGGGGCTGGAGTTAATGACCTTTCAGGGTCCCTTCTAGTTTTCTGAGATAGGTATATCTTTCTATATATATTTATTTAACTATTGGCTCCTAAGAAAGCATTCTAGAAGGCCTGTTTTCCTCAGTCTGAGGGGAATTGATAGGACTTGTTGTTAGTCTATCTGGCAAGTATGAGAGAGGGAAAGAGCAGGAGTGCTGATACAGAGCAATCCAGGTAAGCTGGGCTGAAGGACACAATATGGACTTTAATACAGCTAAATATACATGTGTACATCTAGGAATGTAAGCTATACTTATAGGATTAGGTATTCTATCCTGGGACACAGTGACTCTGAAAAAGATGTGGGGGTCATGTGGATAATCAGCCTAACATGGGCTTCCTCTGTGATGCTGTGGCCAAAAGAGCTAATGTGATCCTCAGATGAATAAACATGAGAATCTCAAGTAGGAGTAGAGAGGTTATTTAACCTCTGTATTTGGCACTGGTTTGCCTGTTGCTGGAGTCCTGTGTCCAGTTCTGGTGCCCACAATACAAGAAGGATG